TCATCTCCCTTAATAAAACAAGCCCTTCCATGATTCAATTTAGACTGGTTCAGTTAAAAGTCAATAGTATTAAAATATTTAAGGCAATGATAAAGTCCCCTATAAAAGGTTGTTAAACAAAGGCCATGTCATCATTGACTATTGCCGAATATATTACATTGGGAAAAGACTTTCAAATGCATAAATAGCAGTTTAATGCCTAACTCCCACTTATTTCTACTAGGAGTTGAGTGTCCAATTGTTATTTGTATTTTTAATAATCTTCAAGGCTCTCACATGGCACAAAGTCTGACCCACAGTGCACAAGCTATTTCCTTCTCCACTGCCCAACGTGTGCAAGCCTGAACAACTGGTGCCTCCCAAGACTGGGGGCACACCATAGCAACAAGCGGGGACCGCCCACAGATGCCACCAGCTGCGTCGGCAGTGGGGGGGGTGGGGGGGTGTTGAGTGGTGACACCCCGCAGAAGCTGCCACTGGCTTTGGCAGGGGCCCATCTCAGGGGGAGCATGTGCCCCCTGTGCCCCTCTTTGTGTTGTCTATGTGTGCAAGTTCTCTTGTGACCTAAGGGTCAGCTTATCAAAGCACCAAGGCAAGTTGTAGCCCACCATGTTATTAGTGTAAATGCAAGTTGTTATCAGGAAAAGTAGGGTTGAAAGGGACATTTGGAGGCCACCTAATCTACCCCCCACCCCTCCCCATCTCTTCCCGAGGCAGACTCATTCCTATCCAAACCATCCCATACAAATCCTTGTCTAATCTATTCCTAATACTATACAATCAACCTTGTCACACAACTACAAGATATAGCATCCCCAACCTGCCACAGGTAAAGCAAAGGGATAACTGCAGTCAAGTGTTCTGCTGCTGCAAGGATTGTTAAAAAACATTTTAGAGATTCAAAGAAGAGGGTCATTACCCTCTGCTACACAGGAAAGCAAAGCCCCCAGTAGTCTGTACCAATATGACCATGGGGTAAAATGCCTTCCTGAGCCCATGTAGGGATAAATCTGACCATGAGCAGAGGGGCAAGACCCTCCCTAAGATGCTTTTGAAAATCCCACCTTAAATTTCTCCTTACTTCTAGAGAACATGGCATGCCCTTTCTGATTCAAGATCACAAGTGATCCATTGCATTTGCCTGCTAACTGGTTCACACAAAAAGACTGCGCTCTCCTGAAATCTTACCTGACATCAACATGCAACTTGCAGTCCTTTTTCTCAAAGGTGGGGTTCAAAATATCAACACCTCCCTTTGTGTTTGGAATGCATTCATAATTGCATTCAGAAGTCCGTATGGCACCCCTCCTCCTCCCAATCACTTGTATCAATCCTATGTCAGCACCGTTGGGAAGTATGAAGTTGAGTCATTTCCAGATCTACTTATCAAACTGGTAGGCTGGTGCTGACATTGTGTTTTCATTTCCGAGTCACGACTGCACTGCTTCTCTCCATCCTTCACACTCTCTCCCTGGAGCCTGTACCCTTTCCCCTTCCAACCAGGGCCACTAAACACGGCAGGGTTCCAATACCTGTATCTGTTCTGGCTGAAGAATCCATATTTGGGTGATGTGTATGTGTGTGTGTGTGCACATGCGTGCATGAACAATCTTCCCCCTCACTTGGAGTTTTCTGATTGCCATATGCTTTCCAGATTTCTGTGCCTTTGTATGGTTCATCCTCTTAGCTGATGGGCTTGTATATTTTTCCAGCCAATCCTAATGCTCTGCTCTTTGGCATTACTTTGTGCCCACATTCACCACTGCTAGTTTTGCCTAGTAATGTCTATTAATTACTTTGTTCCTGGTTATTCACGTTCTCTTACATGTCCTGCCCAAATGCTCTTTGGATTACTTTTTCTTTAATATACATTGCAATACAAATTGTTTCAGGTGTGTGCACTTACCTAGCAAAATAGAATTTTATCTGCAGTAAAGTCCAAAAGAGAACCATCGAACTAAATCTGCAAGGCAGGGCTTCTCTCTGAGTCTTTTAGCTGTTTCTTGTTGCAGCAGTGACAAGAGAGTGGGAAAGGGGCATTGCAGCAAATCCCATCTGTCCCATTTGTAGCAAATCGCTACCTGCATTTCTTGATACAGGTTTCTTTCATGGCTTCTCAGTGGAAGGGATTACAATGCCTCCAGGGTCAATGTCAGGAGGTGAAATAAAAATCCAACCAAATCAAAACACTACACTTATATACAATTTTCTGCTTCAAGGAAAGGATAAAAGAAGAAATGAATCAAATGTGGCAAGTGATATTCACATTGCTTAATGCATTATGGGTGCTACACTTCAAGAAGGATGTGGAGAAGCTTGAGAGTCCAGAGAAGAGCAGCTGGTATGATTAGAGGCCTGAAGAGCAAGCTATACAAAGAAAGATTGACAGATATGGGACTGTTCAGTCTAGACAAGAGAAGACTTCAGGGGGAATTGGTGGCAGCTTACAAATATATCAGGGGTCAGCACTGGGCTAAGCGAACAACTATTCACCAAAGTGTCCCAGGGGAAAACCAGGAAGAACAGTCATAAACTCCTAGAAGGAGGTTTCAGACTGGATACAAGGAAAAACTTCTTCACAGTTCATGACCAGACTCTGGAATAGACTCCCAGCAGGGGTGGTGCAGGCCCCTACCCTGGAGATCTTCAAAAGGAGACTGAACGCACACCTGGCTGGGGTTATTTGACCCCAGCAGTCTTTCCTGTCCAGAGCAGGCAGGCTGGACCCAATGATCTCACAAGGTCCCTTCCAGCCCTAAACTTCTGTAAATCTGTGAAGTCACTCAGCTACTACTATGGGCCACACAAGCATCAACAGAATAGAATAGAAAGTGTAAG